AGTGCAGCTCCAGACAGATCTGCAGTGCCTTGATGGTGGGCTCCAGCCAGACCCCTCAAGACACAGCTCTCCAGTCCCTTCTGCTGTACTCAGAGAAACTCTTTGAATCCAAAGGTGTCCTTGTCACACAAAGGGTGGGAACAGTTGGAGAGTAACTTCCATGGGAAGATGCTCAGGTCTATCGTGGCTATTACAGCACATGGCATGCATGGATGGAGTGCAGCTCCCACATCACTCAGGAGGTAGCAAGCCTTCCTAGCCTCTGGCTCATGACCAACTCCACTTTCACAGGGGAGGAAGAGTGACAAAGCATGTATCTGTACAAGATCTTTTGAAAATCTTTAAGAACATAGCATAAAAGTAAAGGACTCAGGAATTTCAGCCCTTTCCAAGCTCCCTTGGACCTGTTTTTGTTCAGGCACAAGCATGACTTCCCCACCAAGGGCTCTGCTTACCGTCAGAGATGAGATGGGTTACTGCAAGATTGCTGCTTGAAGAAACGAGCGGGCTTTGCTAAATTCTTTCTGCAAGTTCGCCAAATACAGGGCCCAAGATTTTTAATGGTGTGTAGGCTTTGTTCTGTTTAGCATTGCTAAATTTACACGACTTAGCTAAATCTTCTTTCATAAGTGACTGAGGTCCTCAGGAGTCTAAGGAGTCTGAGCAGGATTTCAAAAGTTGTTTGAGATACGATTTGGTTTCATTTGAGCAGACACAAAACAAGGAAGGACCTGTAAAGATGCCTTGGAAATGGCAAAGAAAGCCTATGAACTGCCTGTCATTTCACTTTTATTTCTCCTAACATCTACCTTCGAGACCAATGCTAGGGCAAAGGGAGAAAAAAAATGCAAAATTCTATTAGAAGTACAAAAGGAAGGGGCAACACATGATAATTCCTGAAGGACCGGTGCATTAGATGATGGCAGGTCCTTTCTGAGCAGACATCAGATTCACTAGATGGGAAAGAACTGAGTGTTGTACTGGGAGTCCAGAAAGCAAAAGTTAAAATCTAAAATACTTTAGTTTACTTTGTCAGGAAAACAACTGACATGATCATACTGTAAGTATCTGTGCCTCTTTCTTCTCCCACTTGTCCCTTTTAATCAAATTAAGTGGAAGAAACCTTACTAATGATTTAAATGCTTATAACTTCCATAAAAATAAATGGCCAAATTAGTTTTTTTGAGCTGCAACACAACCTTTTTATGAAGCAGAGACCCCAAAAGGGGTAATTATTCTTCAGTACAAGACTCACTGTAGGAAAAGCTGGGGTAAGAGATAGCAAGTCCTTAGAGCGTTGGCTCAGAACCAGATCTACTTACATTAGAGAACAAGCAAAATCATGATCTTCTGCTGTAAGTCCTTCCTGCTGCATGGACAACAGTTTGCTTTTGATGCAGGCAAAGGGCAGTTTGAAGGTAAGTTAGCATCTATTTCTGTTCACCTTAAACCACATTACAATCTGTAGCAGGCAGCTACAAGCTTGTGTTTACTCTAAAACTGAAAGTAAAAAAGAGTAATAAAAAGTGAAGAGTGGAAACACCTCATGTTGGAAACCTGTACAACTCCCTCCCAGGCGTGAAAGGGGAAGTCACCAAGCAACAGGGAAGAGAGAAGAAACAGAGAAGACTAGCGGCCAAAGTAAAGAGAGAGAAGAGCCAAAAATAGGAAACTGCTTGGAAGTACAGAAAGGTGGGAAAGGGGGAGAAAAGCCGAAGGCATTTTCTCCCTCTCGTCTGCTGCCTTGGGAACCACCTTTTCTTCTCACTCTTTCTACAGCTTTTTCCCCAAGTCAGAAGGCACTTCCTACTGTCAGCTTTTCCCAGGCTTCAAGGCAGCAGAAAAGAAAACCAAATGGGAGGAACTTCAGATCTTATTCAGAGATCGACACAGGCAGCAGGTCAGACCATGCTGCCTCTCCACCTAAAGATCCTCCCCTCCTACCCAAGAAGGCTGCCTCCTACACACACTTGCAATTATTTTGTTTAGCACTTAGAAAGTAATCAACAGTATTTATTTTCCTGTATAAACTGTTGTACACATTAAGCATTAACTCAGAATGAGTTACTTTTTCAAGAAATTTGTACTTCTTTCTGAACCTTGGAAACCCTCTTCCATACAGAAAGATAAATGGAGAATAGGGGAAACCAGGACTTAAGAGGCTTTGACTACATGAAGTGCCTGAAGCCCAGATCAGGCAGAACTGAAGCTTTGACAGAGATCTTAAAGTTCTGTTTCCCCAAGTGCTGAAGACCAGAGCCTCAGGAAAAGCTTAAAATTACTTAGCAAACAAACAAAAATCCTTTTTTTGTTGTATTGCATGCATATGACACGCAGTAACCACTTGCAGGTCAAAGCTTGAAAGGGTGCTTTATTTTGTTTCAGTACAGATTCGGTCCAGTTCACAGAGAACATATTAGTTAATACACATCTTCATTTTGTAGGAGAAATGGGCATGAATATATGAACATTCAGTCACCAGCATTCTGTAGCCAATTTATGCAACTTTCACGTCAAAAGCATCATGTATGGCACACAGGTTTCACAAGCATCTTGTATAGAAGCACCATAACATCACCTCTAGAAACATGGGTGAGGAGGATGTAAATCTCAAGAACTATATGTATACTGCTTGGGAAATTACCTTTCAAAATCCTGTTTTTGCCATTGATTTCAAAGTTTGTTTTAAAAAAATGTATTCCTGAATAATAACTGTACTTACTCGAGGCACACATTCAAGTTCAGGCTACAGAGAGCAGTCTTCACTTTATGCAGCCATAGAGCTGAGGACCTGGAGCATCTAAACTGTCTTAAACTCAGCCTCCGTGTGCTGCTGCAGCAACTAATAGGAAGAAAGACACCTTCACCTCAGCAGAACAAAGCAGCCATCCATGTTTAACCACTTTTAGCAACTGAGATAGCAAAAAAGGCAAGGATGTTTGCTAAATCAGTCCCGGTTAGCCTACCAAACTTACCTTCCTTGTTAGACATAAGGTCCAGTAGCACTGATGAGGCTTTGGGTTTTTTAAAGCACAATATAGGAGCTGATCTGTCTCCCCTGCACATCCAGGCTTATACCAGGTGGTCTAGAAAAAGATACTGTCACTCTTCACAAAACCTTAATTACTTACACCAAAGTTGTTCAATACACCCAGTACAAACTCTCCCCACCACAGACAGAAGTTTGACCTCTAAGCAAAATAAAACTGAAAAATGCTGTAGGCAGCTATCTTCTGTGTAGGGGGAAAAAAACCGAGAACAGTAACAACAACAAAAATCCCACCAAAGAAAACCACAAAAGAAAAACAAAACCCAACCTATTTCTGGAGAGATTAAATGGTGACAAGACCCAGTATCTTCCAGAAACTAATGTAAAATGGCAGGCACATGGAAACCACTCACAGGAATGAAGATGAGAGGACAGAAAAGGAACTATGAAAGACACTTCCAGTCTGAAGCATGTATTGAATAGCATGTCCTCAAGGCCATTATTACAAATTTTTGTGCACTTAACTTGCTCCTGAACACTCCGCTATTTCCTGACATTTCACCTAATGACTTCATTCTCCAAGCACAACAGAAAATGACAGAGATCACAGGGAAGAGAGACAACGAATGCAGTGAGTTAGCATATACTATCAAGTACATAATATTCTTTAAGCTGTCAAATATAAGAGAAACATGGTGACTTTCACTCTTCCTCCATTTAAACAATCAAGTTTTGAAATGTTAAAAGAAAATGTCTGAAGTTCATGCCCAAGCTCCTCAAAGTTTTAAACACAGCATCTTACCACTGAAAACACTGTTTGTCTTTTTATTTGTAAACCAGAGTTTGAAAGGTCTTACAATATACTTTCTATTTTTCTATAGAACCAGCATTTAAGAACTGAAAGAACAGTGTGCCACTACATGTTAAGAACCACATTTTAAAAACCTTTATTAAATAAAGGTTATATAGGTATAATGAATTTAAATTGCATTTTAAAGTCGGCTACTTGAAAATGGAAGTCTAGTCAGAGATGAGGCTGTACAGCTGTGCCCAAGACAGAAGAGGAAGGCAGGCACAGCTGAAGACTCACAAGCTAACTCAGACTGCCTCAGTCACAGCTTCCGCACATCTGAATGACACCGCTGATTGGGTCAGTCTGAACTACTCAGTATAAACTCTCCCTTTCTAATAAGAAGGATATTAACTAAAGCTTTCATTTAAGCAATAAAATATTTCTATTTAGCAACAGAAAACAAAAATGACATACTTGCTCTGTTTCAGGCACTTTCAAGATCATAGTTTATTTACTGTAGGTAAAAAGCTAGTATACAGATTAAGGGACCCCTTAAATTTCAACTCTACAGTTATACACCATCTAGTATTCTTGCTCTGAATATTAACCAAAAGAAGTTTCTGAACACCTGTAAGCCCCACTATAAATTTGCACTGTTATGAGGAAAAAAAAAATTAAAAATCAATGCTTAATTTTTTCAATGCATAATATTTACACTGTGAAACCAAGGGGAGATAACAAGCAGTGGCAAAAAGGCAATAAATTTTTAAAAGCCAAAATGTTGTATATTTTTTTACAATAGTGTGCTAATCAGCAAAAATGCATATAAAAACATTAAAATATAGCAGAGCATCCTGTTACAGAAATCTTAATCATATGAATTCCAGTCATTACTTGCTAACCATTTACATGCAACACCTGCCAGGAACCGACTTTTTGTTTTTAAAGTGTAAAATAGATTATGAGGTTTAAGAGTCAAACATTTATTTGTGTACAAAAATAAAAACTGCACTCAAGAATTGTACCAGTAAGAGCTTCTTCCATACAGGAGGGGAAAAAAAAAGAAACCATACAAACAATGATAGAAAGTGGTCTCTTTCCATACACTAATTGTCAAAGGCAATGCATAGACTTAGAATACCTGGATGGCAAACTGTAGACACCAGAAGCAGACAGCTTTTCACATACATGTTCTTTACAGGAGGCCTTTCTTTCCATCAAATGGCAATGGCTGACAGCAAATAAGGGGCATCAGGTGCACAACTAGAGTAGATCTTGCAAAATACTAAGATGGGGCAGTTGTTAATATACAATTTTAACTATATATACAATATAATGGAATGTATCCCATCCCAAAACAGGTTTATGAAACAATTGGACCTTTCTATACTAGTCTTACGACTCAACTATTGTTTTAATGAAAATATAAGTACACAAGAGACTTGCAAGAAAAGTAACATTTTGAGGGCATTTTACAGGAGATATCGACAAAGCTGCTTAATGGCAATTCTGCTTTTAAAGTAATTTTGTTAGATATAATTGAAACAACATCTGTGTATAAAATGTCCTGACAGACACTTCAACATGGAGCTTTGGTGATTTAAAAAGGCCCTTTTTAATCTGTTATGAACGGTACTGCAGAAATGTTGATGCATGCACACATCTGTGGTAGCTGAGACTAGTGGTCCAACTGCATGCACATTTCTTCCTTGAGGTGCTTTCCACATTAAACTACTTCAGTAACAATGAGATGAAAAATAGATTAAACAAAGTATTTCAAATAACTCAAACTGAATAGGAAATGGAATGCCAATATGGCAGTAAAACCTTTTTCTGTTGTTTCTAAACAGGAAGGTCTCTTGTACCAGCAGAATTCTGTATACAGATACACATAGAAGGAGGGAATACACCACTTATAATTCCCATTGAACAAGAGCCAACTCATCATGTGAGAAGGTACAAATTACAGAAAACATGAATAGTCAATAGAAGAGAAACAACTGGTTTACATGAAAGAAAAGTGAACACTTCAGTCTGAATGCAGTTATTTTGTGAAAGCTGCTACAACAGCCCACAGAACCTCATTTGTGTTGGCTTTCATACATTCAACCTCAGGGTCTAAATCCAGAAGTTGCCGCACTCTCTTTGTGGCTAAATCATACTGCTCATCCAAAAGGGGGGCAAAAGCGTTCTCCAGAACATCTGAAGCATGGGCTAAATAAACCAGTGCCAGCAAGCGCTTGTCCATGCGGTGAGGATCGTTCACCCATTTGTCAAGAACTGCTTCTTGAACCTTCTTGATGAGGCGCTGTTTGATATTGTTGTTGGTGAGAGGGTGCGTAGTCATGTCAAAAAGAAGGAAGTTCTGTTTCTCTGTTGTCAGTACACCTTTCTCCACTAGATTTTTAGCTAACCGTTCACGGACATTTCGTAGCTGGTAGTGCAACTTCAGTGGGTTCCATGTTTCCCCTAAAAAAAACAAGCCCAAAACCCAACAGTCAGGCAAAGCTTAAGCTGTACTGTTACAGTGATTTCCCCCCTGCTGTGGTGCAGAATGAGCTGTCAAATCAATATAGCTGACTATTACAGTAAGATACTGTGCTAACGTCAGCACATCTCTGATCTCTGACCTACTCAGATACAGGCATAGAGACCATGAGAGCCTCCTTGGAGGACTTCACTGAATGTTTACGGTTTGGATGAAATGCTATCTAAGCCATGACCCATGATTAAGGATATGACAAATAAGCAGTCTTGTACTGAAGAAAAAATACAAAGCCCAAACCCAAAGTTTACTTATAATAATAAAAACAAGCATTTCCTCCAATCTTGTGCATTTGTCTTTTTCCAGCCTTTTACTGTATCAGAGACTGTAAGAAGTGTCATTGCCTTTCCTTCTGCCACAGCAACAAGATTCATGCACATCTATCTTGTGCATTTCTCTATTTCTTCAGGTTTTCAGTCTTCTCTCTGTCCTGAGACCTCTGGATAAAACAGTGACCACGCACTAGGGAGGGGAGGGAGAGGGGTTTGTGTGTATACTGGAGCACATGTTAAGCAGGGGCTTTAATGTCTCAATAAAAAAATACTCTAATGCTTTTTGTTAAGGCAGGAGAATCTGGCCCTTCGGAGTGCAGGACTGCGTGTGCACAGAGAATTTTAAAAGCACAAAACCAGAATCACAGCTACTGAAAAGGCTATAATTGTTAAGCACTGCCAAATTCACCTTTGCTTAAGAGTTTACTTAAGACAAAATTTTAGGTTCAGCCTAAGTACTTATCAGAAGTATTAAAATCTCCTTCTAATATAAAACATTTTATACATTTTGAGAGGCAATAGAAGAAACAGCATGAAGTATTTCTTACACAGATGGAGGTTTTCTAGAAATTATATGACACTTCCTGTATTGATTGGTTTCTATATCAGAAAGCTTTTTAAAAAATTAATTAACATCCAACAACAATACAAACAATCAAGTATTATTTTAAGGTTTCTCCCACTGTGATATAAAGTGACATACACTGTATCCACTAACAGCCAAGTTAAGTAAGCAAATGAAGTGATACCAACTGTACAGGGAAATGCAGAGAACTCACGCCTCATCGAATGTGATTCCCCAGCTTGACCACAAACAAAACTACCACACACACAAAAAAAAGTAGTTTCTTTACAGTGTTTTATGGGACAAAGGCTATTTCTTAGATTTTTCTACATTTGTTAGACAGATATAGCTATACAGTAGCAAAAATCAGTACTGTGGTGATACCTTGTGGCCAATCTCCTCAATTACAAATCCACTAGTCCAAACAGACAGATACATTTGTCACATCTGAAGAATCAGAGAATTGTCACGGTTGGAAAGGACCTCCAACTACCACAGAGATCAACCACCAACACGATCTCCCTCCCCCAAACAACCACAACCACCACACACTCTACCAAAAAAAACACACAAAAAAGAACACAAAACAAAACACCTACAACCTCAGCCACTAGAGCATGCCCTGAAGTGCCACATCTAAATGTCTCTTGAATACCTCCTAGGATGCTGACTCAACCACCTCCCTGGGCAGGCTGTTCCACTGCCTGACCACTCTTTCAGTATAAAAATTCTTCCTAACATCCAGTCTGAACCTCCCCTGCTGCAACTTCAGGCTATAAAGATCTGACACTTTGATCCAA